CATGCCGGGGCTGTTGTGCCCGTCTCCCCGTCCGCGGCCCGAGCTCGTGGCAGAGCGGGGTGGGAGCGGAGGGCCGCGGGCGATTGCCCAGGGAGGACGGCTGGGCGCTCCGAGGCCTCTGGTGGAGGGGGGATCCAGGCGGTGCTGCAGGGACAACTTTGGGGTGTGGAGAAGCCTGCTGTCCAGACAGTACGAGCCCTGGCTGGGTGTCGTGCTGGGCTGCAGAAATTCTCGGGTGGGAGGTTGCGGGTCGTCTTTGCCTTCCGCCCGAGGTGCGCCGGCGGAGCTGGTGGGAGCGGCCGCCGGCGTCTCTCGGCTCGCTCTTAGTCTGACCCCTAGGGGGCGCCCTTGTGAGTTTGCAGGAAAAGGCGGTGCCGCCAGGGCCTTGCGTTCTAATTGCTGTTATCAAATTAACGTGGTGATTATCACGTCTGTGCCCTTGTAGTTCACAAGTTTACGATTCAAGAAAGGGTAATTGAGTAGTCTTTAATTAAAAAACTATTGCGCTTTTTCACCTAGATGATCTGAATTATGTTTTTCTTTAGAAAAAGAATGATTTATTTATTATTATTTTTCAGTTTGACCAACAAGAGAGAGAAAGGAAAGTGAGAAAGCAAGCCGCTAGGTTCGGGACTTGAGCTGCAGTCGGTCATGAGGGAGTCCAGTTCCTCAATCAACACATCACCTTCCTGCCCTGCTCCGCCCCCCCCCCCCACTGGGTTTCTCTTTTTTCTTTTCTTTTTTTTTTTTTTTTTTTAGAGAGAGATTTTGCTAAAGGGTGCGTTTGCTTGCCAGAGACAGAGAAAGACAGAGACAGAAAGTGAGAAATCACCCCCCTCATCCTCCCCAGGGGGGACGGCCAGGAACACATACCTTCTCCATTCTCCTCTTCGGGTCTTGGCCACGCCAGGCACATGTGTCAAGCCTCTGGGGTCCAGGACTTGATCAGGGCTTAACTATGTAGGAGTCCCGCGACATAGCCATTAAGCCATCTGCTGGTCCCAAGGGATTACTCTTAACACACCGTTCCAGGCTCAGGGATAGGACTGTGGAAAGTACAGACACTTTTCTTGCCTTGAATTGTCAACTTGGGGTGGTGGTGGAGATTGGGGATGTAAAGGGATGGGGAGGGGGACACCTTGAGTTACATAACTAAACATTTTTCAGATAAAAATAGCAAAGGCAAGGATGATGAAATAGTAGCTTGAGGACCGGGCAACTAGGATTTATGGTCAGGAAAGACTACTATGAGGAGGTGACTTTAGTGAAGAAAATCCAGCCGTGGTCACATGCAGCTCTCTGAACCTGCACTGAAGGAAGCTGGAGGAAAACACAACCAGGCTGTTTCCACTTTGCAAACGTGTGATCGTGAGCCTCACTGAGCCTTCTGCCAGGCTGTCCTCTACATTCCCATTCTTCTCTCATGCTCCCACCTTCCTAAACCATTATTAAAACTAGTCTCGTAGATTTTTAGCATTTCTTCCCTTATTCTCCCCCAACTGATAACCACGTTTCACCGAGCAATGGAAGCCATCAGAAGAGAATTTTCATACCACCTACCTACTTATCGGCTGTCTTTGCCCATAATTACCTGTGAGTTGTTTGAACTGTCTGTGCTCTATCCTCAACCCTTCTCTCTGCTTGTGTTCCAGTTTCTATCCCTTTCTCGCCTACTACAAGGCATTGCTCCAGCAATTCTCTTTCATGCATCGTCAGTTTTTGAATCCTTTTTAAAAGCTTGTTCACAGCAGCATGTAATATATGTAATTGCTCATATATTAGAAAGTAAAAACACGACCTTACATGCCCTGTCACTTGTCCACCCCTACCTTTATTCCTTGAAGGACTTCTCAGTACTCCTCTCTTCATTTTTCTGTTTTCTCTTGCATCTGTTCTGGCAAGCATTTCTCCTCTGTCCCCTGTCATGCTGGTGCTGCTTTTATTGAAGTCACTGATGACCAGTTAATACAGTGGCCGCTTTCTGGTTTTCTTTTTAGCAGTGACACAGTCAGTTGGATCCTCCTCCTAGAAACACTCGTCTTGGTCTTCAGGTGGCTACCCTCTCCTTTCACTCTTTGACATTACCTTTTCAGTCCCTAGTACTTATTCTCCTTCATCTGCCTTCTAAATGTGGGGTGCTGAGAGTGTACGGTATCTAGTCTCTTGACTGCTCTGAACAAAACTAATCTCTGGAATTCTGAACACATTTCTCTCTTACCCTCACGTTCAGCCCATCAGCAGATCCTGTCACTTCTACCTTAAAACATTTGGAATGTCCTTTTTACCACTTGTACAACGTCTGCTTCGGACCATTGTTTCTTGGTTCCATTATTGGAGTAGCCTCCTAACTAGTCTCCTAGCTTTGTGCCTTTGTCTCCTTCCCCTTTCCCTCCATACCTTCCAGGTTTTTAAGGTAGCCAGGGTTTTCTTGTGAGTCAGAACATGTCATTCTATGTTCAGAACACTAATGGTTCTCCTTTTACATTTTTTTTAAAGGTTTTTTTTTTTGGAGAGGTTTTTGCTATAGGGTGCATGTATTCGCTAGAAAGAGAGACAGAAAGTGAGAAATCACCCCCCGGGCCACACTGCAATCCTTTCTTCTCCATTCTCTTGGGATCTTGGGCACGCACACACAGGCGCCCAGCATGAGTTTAAGCCACCAGGTCCAGAACTCGAACTGTGGTCAACTACATGGGAGTCCAGCGACACAGCCATTATGCCAACTGCTGGTCCCATATTTTTTAATAGGTTTTATACTAGTATCTTCAACTTCTTATGTCCAAAACCAAATGCTACTTTGTTGTGCCCATGGTATTCTCAGTCGTAAATGGGACTCCAAGAGTACCTTTTTTTTCCTCTCACCAGTACAGCAGTCCCTGGCACTTAGTAGGCACTGAGTATTTGCTGACTAAATGAGAAGAAGCTTGTCTTTTGAAGAGCAAGGTAACAGAGCAGTGTGTTCCAGGTAGCATGAGTCACAGTGCAAAAGGACCCAATGGGCACCGGTATGGCATGGTATTTTTTTAGTTTTATTTTTTTTGCTATAGGGTACGTGCACTTGTCAGGAAGTCAGAGAGAGAGAGACAGAGAACGAGAAATCACCCCCCAGGGTGGATGGGTTCGCCACCATCCCTTCTCCATTCTCTTGGGATCTTGGGCACGCACGCACAGGCGCTTGGCGTGAGTTTAAGCCACCGGGTCCAGGACTTGAACCGCGGTCGACCACATGGGAGTCCAGTGACATAGCCATTACGCCAACTGCTTGTTCCAGGCGTGGCATGTTTAAGGAGCTAAAAAGAAGGCCAGACTGGCAGAAGCTTGTTGCTATATAAGTTTTGCTGGTATAGCAAATCACCATTAACTTACTGACTTAAAACAGATTTACTGATCGCAATTTTGGTGGTCTCAGCAGTGTAAAATGAGACTTAAGGGGCTAAAATCACTGTGTGGGCAGTGCTTCTTCCTGGAGGCTGTACAGGAGAATCTATGATTTTTCTCTCGGATTGTCTTTTTTCCTTTTCCAGCCTCTCCAGGTAGCCTGTGTTCCTTGGCTTGACTAGTTGTGCCTGCCTCCATCTTCACAGCCATCAGCAATTCACATCTCTTTGATCTCGCCTTCAGTTCCATCACCTCTGACCCTTCCTGTGTTCCTCTTAGAGGGGTCATTGTGACTATACCACAGCCCACATGGGTAACCCAGGCTACCGTCCTTATCTCAAGGTTTTAAATGCAATTGTATCTGCAGAATGCTTTTTGCCAAGTCAATGTACATGTTTACGGATTTCAGGATTAGACCCTGGACATTTTTGGGGGGGGTGGTAAGAGAAGGGGTCGGTGAGCCAGCCTACCCCAGTTAATGAAAGGAGGGCGGTCTAAGATGCCGTCTAAGAGGTGGGCTAGACCATGATAGAGCATGTGTTTCAGCATGCTGTAGGTTTTCAGTAGGGGAATGTTGTGGTCGGATGTGGCTGCTGGGTGGAGACTGGACTGCTGAGATCGGAGCGAGGCCTCTGCCTTTCTGTGGTGTCATCACTATGTCTGATTGTTGCTGCACGTTGCTCATCTGAGAAGCTGTGAAATCATGTGCAGAACACACTCCAGAGCAGTTGCAGCTGAACCTCAGGGTAGGGTCCACGTGTGAGTTTCGTTTGGTTATTTAAATAAGGCCAGTCATCAAAGTCGAAGCTGCTGGTCACAGGTGTGAATCCATTTTACCTTAGCTCCTACTCCACTTCTCGGACCCTTCACTTAACTATATGGTTTGCTTGGCCATTCCCTGTACATACTTGTATATTCCTGCATCTGTGCCTTTGAGAAAGAATCCAAGGGACTAGAGTGAGCAGGGGGTACATGTCTCTCAAAGCCCAGCTAATAAGTTCTCTCAGAGGCTTCTCTAGAGCCCTCTAGCAAAAATGATCCTCTTCTCTGTGCTTCTGTTTGCATTGATTTGTTCTGGCAGGAGCAGACTGCAGGGTATAGGTAATTGTCCCTTTGTGTATTCACTCATGGCTTCAACAAATACTGCATCACTTGGCTGGCTCTGCGCTAGACACCTGTCTAGACAGTTCTAGTTCTAAAAGCCTCATTAGGACTTACTACAGTGCAGAGGCAGCCCTTTACCTCTGGTAGCTGACACTAGGAGGAGGAAGGAGGGGGCAGAATTGCCATGAGCATATCCTGAGCTTGCTCCTGCAGAGATTTGTCCTAGGGCTGTGGGGTCATGGTGATCTCGAGAAAAGTTCCTCAGCTGTTACATATGTATTTGACCTGAAACTTGAAAGATGATTGTTGTTCCTCTTAATGATGAGCTAGGTATGATGAGAAGGGAAGAAAGCGATCTGAATAGAAAAGCTTGTGAAAGGCAGAAAAGTGGGAGAGACACTACAGTAACAGTATGTGGAGCTGAGGCTGAGTAAGACCGAGGTGAGAAGAAGGCAGGAGGGAAGGCACAGAGCAGATGCGTTGTGGTAGGGACCGACGACGAATTGCAGAGTAGAAGTGGGTACTGTGCTTATTAGAAGCCGAGGCTATGAAAGAAAAAAATGTTATGGAAAGGCATAAGATACATATTCAAATCAGAGGTTTTAAAAGATCTTGGAACCAGCAATTGGTGTAATGGTTATGTCTCCAGACTCCAATGTAGTCGACCATGGTTCAAGTCCTGGACCTGGCGGCTTAAAACTCATGCCAGCTGCATGTGCATATGTGTCCAGAATCCCAAGAGGAGAATGGAGGAGAAGGGATTGTGGCATGGCTATCTCCCCTGGGAGATGATTTCTTGCTTTCTGTCTCTCTCTGTCTGGTGAGCACACGTGATCTATAGCAAAAATCTGTCTCAAACAAAACAAAACAAAACAAAAAACCCTCATTTGAACAGTAAGTGGCGAGTGCAGTTTATATGTGGACTAGAAAGATCCAACAGTAAGATTTGAAAGTACAAGGAAGCATAAATAAAAGGAAAACGATAGAAAAAACCCCTGGAGAGGCAACAAAAATAGGGATTCTACACATAATTGGTTTACCCTTGGACAAGAAGAACAGGAGTTGTAAGGAGTCATGGAGACAAGGTTACAGTCTGATGGTTCGTGAAGGAGCCCAAAACACTGAGTTTATCCCTCATAGCCTCAACTTTCTCTGTGACTTGGGGGAGAGGTCAGCTGAAAATAGATGTAAGTTTGCAGGGTCATCATCTGTACCCGAGTTTTCTTGGGGCTCAGCAGCCCAGGGGCAGGTGAGCATGCCAATACTTGGATTACCATGTGGGATTTTGTCCGATGTTTGGGGTGGGAGTGGAGGAGCTGTACATGTCCTTTTTCTAGTGACTTCCTCATAGCTGTGATCATGTAACTTCAGCTTCTGTTTGGATGAAGTGTGTGGCCTTGCATGTAGAAAACCTGTAAATAATGAATTTCATTTGCTTCATGGATGTTTCATTTTCTTATTAGGACAGTAATGATGACACTGAAGATGTTTCACTGTTTGATGCTGAAGAAGAGATAACTAATAGACCAAAAAAATCCAAAATCAGGTATGAGGATAAGTTACACAAGTTGTGTCAGTGTCCAGTGCCGTTCTATCCGTAGATTGGTGCCAGCCAATGGATTTAAGACAGAGTACTTGTGAATATTGTGTGTTGTTTGATATTTATTAGGTCTTCAGAAAAGTCATGGTGCGTTTTTCTATGCAAAAAATGCATCGTGACTTTCTGAGACCGAGATGACATTTTAGATATTCGTGGGACTAATTGCCATGTGGAATTTTGCTCAATGCTGAATTTTCAAATCATGTTTAATTGTTTGAATATCTGTTTTTAATTCTGTGCACTGTTTTCTAAGAATGTGCCATTTTTTGGGACCAGCAGATGGCATAATGGTTACGTTGCTGGACTTACACATAGTTGACCGCAGTTCGAGTCCTAGGCCTGGTGGCTTAAAACTCACGCTGGACATGTGTGCCCAAAATCCCAAGAGGAGAATGGAAGAGAAGGGACTGTGGCGTGGCCATCCACCCTGGGGGGTGATTTCTCACTTTCTGTCTCTTTGTCTCTTTGGCAATAGCATATGCCTTATAGCGAAAATCGTTCTCTCTAAAAGAAGATAAGAATGTACCATTTCTTTATGTAGTTTATGTAGGCATATTTTGACTTACTATGCATATTTTTACTACATCTTTCATATAAATGGAGATAGGAAGTCAGACATATTTTATTCCAAACTTAATTTGCCCTAAAGAAATTAATTTAATAGAAAGAAATTCTACCTGAATTTTGAAAACATTATGCTAAAGAAAGGTGCCAGTCATAAAAAACATATCATGTGATTTAACTTGTATAAAATATCCAGAAAAGGTAAATCTGTAGGGATAGAAAATATATTAGTGGTTACCCATGGCTAGTGGGTTTGTGAATCAGTAGGCACAAAAATTGCTTTTGGGGGTAATGAAAAGTTGTAAAATTGTAGTAATGGTTGTACAATTCTGTGGATTTACTAAAAACCATTAAATTGTACAATTTAAATATGTGAATTGTATGTAAATTATATTTTAATGAAGCCATTAAAAACATACCAAAAAATTTGAAATTAGGATTAAAATCTTAAAACTATCGTTTTTTTTTTTTTATGTCTTCAAGCTGGATAAAGTTTCTTACTATATATTATGTGAAAATTGTTATTCAACGAGGTGTTAAAGTCATGTTTATATAATGTATTTTCTGTGACAGTAGAGTCTAGTTAAATAGTGGGACTTAGGAAAAAAGAGAGGTCGGCAGTTTGCTTCTTCGAGTCATCTCTTTTATTTTGACAAAACGTCATGGTTATGCCATGGCTAAACATTTTTCATTTGCATCTGCTTCTACCTAGTAAAATGTAATTGCATTTCTTTTATTATGTTTTGGTTTTCAGACATCCAGTGGCATCATTTTTCCATTTATTCTTTCGAGTCAGTGCAATCATAGTCTATCTTCTGTGTGAATTGCTCAGCAGCAGCTTTATTGCCTGTATGGTGACGATTATCTTGTTATTGTCATGTGACTTTTGGGCAGTGAAGGTAGGTTTGATTGTTATTTTAAAGTTGTATTTAATATAAGATTGGATTTTATATAAACAGTAAAAAATATGAGCCTGACTTAGCATTTTGGATTGATGTTAATTTTGGTTTTTGTTACTACAGGCCATATCTGTGTTAAATTGCTAGCTGTATAAAATCACATGTTAGTTATTATACTACTGAGTTGTCTTTGCCATATGTCAACCTATATCAGCTTCAAAATTAAACAAACAAAAGTGATTAGCCACTATAGACCCCCTCTAGTTGTCTATAAACACTTAAAAAGCACCCATATTTTTGCACATGCTCATATGGTAGTATTTCTCAACAAGGAGCAAATTGGCCATCCATTTCTCAGTATTTGAAGACATTTTTGGTTGTCATAACCAAAATGAGTATGATGTTGGCATCTAGTGAGTGGAGGCCAGGTATGCTGCTAAACATTTTAAGATATGCAGGGCAGCCCCTAAGACAAAGATTTACACAGGTCAAAATGTCAGTTGTGCCAAGGTTGAGAAGCCCTGCTACAGGGGATAGAAAGAAGTGTAAGAAATGGTTTAATCTCAGAGGCAATGATGGTTTGAAAGATGGATGGGTGGATACATACATACATAGATGAATATGGAGTAAAATAATCGATAAAAGGCATTTGGGCATTCACTATAAGATTTAACTTTTCTGTGTGTGTGAAAATTTTCATAGTATAATGATGGGGAATAAAATCATAGGCCAAAAAATAATTGAAAACTATTTTTGGAATTTCAAAGATGTGTACTGAGTCACAGACCAGAAAGCTCTTTGAGACTGTTGTATCCACCAACCCAGCCATGTTTAGATCTTTTAATTCTTACAGATATCAGAAGTGATTGGCTTGGTAGTGGCCAGTTTCCATAAACCACATAACACTGAGGAGGAAGATGTCAAAGGTCTGTTTTCTTTAGGCTTTTCTTCTGCACACTTCTTTAGCTTACATTTCTTTGACTTTCTTCTGTTGCTTTATGTTTACTGTGTCCTGGTCACGGTTTTACAATTTTGTTTTGATGAATGTTTCTTTTTGTTGTTCACACAATTTCAGCCAGATAGAACATTGCTTTCAATTGGTTCTTCCTGGTACTTTCCAAACTCTCATAATTAAACCCTTCTGAGATTAGCATTTTGAATTATATTATTAATACACACACACACAAACACAAACACGTATTTTTTTTTCTTTTTCCTGTGGGATGTGCTTGACAGAGAGAGAGAGAGAGAGAGAGAGAGAGAAAGTAAGAAATCACCTCCCAAGAGGGATGACCATGTCACAGTCCCTTCTCCAGTCTCCTCTGGGAATTTTGGACACTGCATGCACATGCTTCCAGCATAATTGTCAAGCTGCCAGGTCTGGGACTGAACTGCAAAACTGGTCATGTGGACCCAGCCACCATAACCACTCTGTCACCTGCTAGCCTTAAAGGAGTATATTTTCTGGTACGATT